CCTCGGTGTTGCTCCCACGCCTTGCTCAGCCAGTGAGCGGGAACCGGTCTGTATGTGGGATCCGAACCCTCGGGCGGGAGCGCCACCGCGCTTCCCAAGCGACGCACTATCCAGTGCGCCACCGGGCCGGCCCATACAGTTTTTTTTTAATTTAAAGTTCTGAACAATGTAGTATGTCATGATTAATTAAATTAACAAATATTCTTGGGTCACACACTATGCTGGTAATTGTGATATGGTGTTAAACAAAAATAACACGTTTTTCCTTATTGAGCTTAAGGTCTAGTGGGGAAGGAAAGATGAATATAAAATTACAAATGTGATTAGAGCTATACTGTAAGGATACAAATACGGTAAACATCACTGAAGTGGTCATTAGTGATGGAAGGCAGAGGTTGTTCATGGGCCACTTCTATAAAGAAATGACACTTGAACTAATACTTAAGTGATGTCTAGGAATTCACCGAGCAAAGCTAACAAAAATCGTCTAGAACCACATTTGCAAATGTGAGGTGCTTGAGGGAGCATGGTCAGTTTGAGCACCTCTAAGAAATCTGGTGGCTGCCACTTAGAGAAGGAAGGGGAAATTTACATAAAATGAGGCTGGAGAGACAGACACGGACAATGTCATATAGGACGTTACGGACCAAATTAAGAATTCTGATTTCTTCCCCATACACAATGTGAAACTAACATAGAGTTGTAAGGAAGAAAGTGACATTATTAGTCTCTGATAATCCTAATATCATAGGCACCTCAGACATTTTCCAAATAACAGATGTTGTTAATATAACTTACATATAATGAACAAACAAAACTAGAAATTAAAGTGAAATAAAAGCAAAGAGGGTTTGAAGTAGATATCTAGGGGGGAAAAGCATCCACATAACTGCAGGCAGAATGAAAAGCATGACTGAATTTTTAATGGTATTTCTGTTTTTTATGCTTTGTGGAAAACCGAAGTGTTATTACAACTAAATAAAGACATAAGTGCTTAATATGTATCAGTATTCTTCAGTGAACTGTATCTATGCATATTAAATAGCTATGCAAGAATATTATTCAAAAATGCTAGTATCTTTAAATTCCTTCAGTCTCTCAGATTTTATTTGAGCTTCTGCACTATAAAAACTCTCATCTCAATCAGGCAGAAGAACTTATTATAATTCCATTTCTTAGTTGAAAGTCTGAGAGCCTGTTTCAGCTAAGTATGTCTTTTCTAAATGAGTGTTGGCAGATTTTGACTTATGGGACCTATCAACCTTTTCACACCTTTGGAGGCTGGGATTTTGCTCTACGATTTACATTGGGCCTTAGTTATTTTTTTGACTTTAAGATCTTCAGGCTCACTTATCTTTCATTCTTCTTGGGCCTAGCAAAAAGTCATATCTATTCTGTAGAAGGCTGTGTCTAACTTTCTTTTCTGAAGGACTCTCATCTAGAATGAACTCAGTTTTCTTGATTATTCAAACACAGTTTTCTTGATTATTCGAACACAAGTGGCTTGTTCCTTGTATTAATAAATATGTTAGTCTCGGGTTTTTTGGTAGTCATATTGAACAAGAAAGGAATTTAAAATAGGAAAATGGTGTGTGTTATATACGCATTTTAATGATGATAAAAATAGAGTCATAAATAATGGTGCAGTGGATACCTATCCAGAAAAGAGACTGATATAAACACAGAAAATGTTTGCTTCTTTGCAGTAAGCTTGAGAACCTGAGTATAGAGCATTTTCCACATATGGAATATATTGTGGGTCATTATATTTCAGTATAGCATAATGTCACTTTTTGTTGTGAATTATTTTAAAACTCATACTACATAGATCAATCATAGTCATTTCATCCTCATATCCCCTGAGTATTAATATTTATAGATGAGAAAACAAAATAATACAGGATGATCTGTGCTGTTAATATATTTGGAACACTATTCCACATCTTCTACCCTCCCTCTGTTATTGTTTCCACTATGCTACACTGCTATCAACCCTCTGTTTCCAAAAATTTATTCCCTTCAAATTTAGTAAAAACAGTAAGAAAAAATGAAGAAAATAGCTGAAAACTTGAAGACTAATATTCCCAATGGTTGCTTTAGGCTGTTACAAATCATTATTTTCTGTTAGCATGCTTTGCATTGGAGAATAAGGTTATAGAAACCTGATAACATTAGCCAATGCAAATTAGATTATTCCCTAGCTGCTCTAACTTATTAAATGCATGACAGATGACTTCATATTTTCATTATTGGGAAACAGGCTTGTTAGAATTTCTGGTTCATGTCACATGTATTGTATGTCATCACGAAAAATCTCTGTCGTCAAAGACAGTACGGATTATTAATTATGAAAAAAATAAAGAAAAATTACCTGCTCCTCTGGTGTGATTAAAATCCCCTTTAATGATTTTGCATGATTTTCCATTGCCATTGCATACACCACAATGATCTTCCCTTGCAAGAGACCCTAATAAACCATCACAGCCAACTTTCTGTAACAAGAGAATGACAGCACATCATAAATTGAGGTTTTCTTTCTTTTTCTTTTCCTTTATTACTAATTTAGGACAAATTTAGTCTCTACAAACCAGACATGTTTAATTGACAAACCTGTATTATGTCAGATTTTCTGGTGCAAACTAATACAGCAAGCTCATATCAAATAATTTGTCAAATGACCAAACAACAAGACAGTGATGAGAATACTTTTCATATAGTAAGTATTAAATGATATCCTAAAGAAATTTGGAAAAAAATATATTATTGGGAAAATGCAATTTACATAAATCCCCAAGGAAATCATACTTTTATTAAAATAGTATGATTAATTTAATTCGTTCTACTCAACATAGAACAGATATGCTTAACTATATTGATGGCTTCACTCCGAAAGTGATTATAGAGCAAATGCTAAATGTTAAATATTAACTTTCTGGAAAAGCTAACTATAAATATTTATTTTCACTACAGTTCATAAATAAACTTCTAGCTCCATCTTCTTTGGCATGTAGCTCATGAATGTGAGTAAGAATTTCTCATTCCCCATGGCTGCTAAAAGGACATATAAACAGCTGGGGAATCAACTTTTATACGCTCCCAGAAGAATATTGTTAATATCAATCTTCTGAGATCAAATCGACTGATTCTTTTCTTGTGAATAATTTTTGCTTCCCACTGAGGTTCAGAAAATATGATCATATTTTTCAAAGTTGTGCATACTCAAACAGCAGAATTTACTATCTTAATATTGTCAGGAATAAATAGTAGGATTATACAATTCCTCCTACTCAAGAAGATTTGGAAGAGAGACTAATCATACATCCATTTAGAACAAGTTTCCATTATTTTAGAGGAAATTTAAAAATATTAAATAAAACAGAAACAAAAACAGGGTCTTCGTGATTGATGTTGGTTGTTGGGGGCCTGGGGGGAAGCAAGCAGATTACAAAATGCAGGATGAATATCCCAGGGAGCAAAATTCACATTAAAACTGCATAATACAGCACTCCTGCCTTTTGTCGAGCAGGGGCTATCAGTGTCAGGAGGTACAAAGAAATGCTTTAGCAGAGAACTCTGATCATTAAGTCAAAGTTTATTCAGAGAGAAATAAAGAGAATGTCTCTAGATGAAAGAAATAGCCACCATAGGAAATTTACAAAACACAACAAAGTGTGGGAGGAGAACACATGAAAAGACCTGGGAATCCTGAGTTGACCAAAAAAGTCTCTCTTTTACACACAAATAAGGATAAATTTAGAGTAGAACTTAGAGTGGTTTCAAAATGATAAAAGTGGCTTTCTTGTTCCATCTCTAGCACCCAGCTTGTTTCTTGGAAACTAGGGAACAATCGATAGTAGTCAAATGATTGGATAGATTGGTATTTAGTATTTAGCAGTTTTTTAGTTTTTTCCTAACCCTGTAACTAGAATATTACAAGATCTGTAAATACCTGAAGTAAAGGTTAGGGATATACATATGTACTATAGTTCAACAATCACGTATTTTTTTAAAATAAAAGTTTTAGATTTGATAGTTTATAATTGGTAGTTTCAAATATCCACACTTAATCAAAATATGCTCACATAAATCCAAAAGTTGAGGATGAACTACTTTGAAAAGGTGATGCCATTTCACTGGTGTCAGGCCTTGAAGGACCACTGCATACTACAGGTGGGCAAATAACATGATAATACAGGATGGAGCCTTCCTCATCCTCTTCAGTAGCAGAAACTTCACAGAGACGACTTGGGTCACCAGCAGAAAGCTGTCTGTTTTCAACTGCCCTCTATTCACCAAATTTAGAATTCTGTATTCAGCTTTGGTGCTATGTATATTTTGTGATAAAACAAAACACTCCAACCAAATCCCCAACTTACAAAGTGTTGCCAGAAAAAAAGGCATGTTTTTAATTATATTGAATGACCAAATGCAGCATTTTAATTAAAAAGCTAGAATCTTAAAGTATTCTAAGGCTGTTAGCAATCATAATCCATTTCAGAGAATTCATTTAAGTATAATCATCATGTTCACATAGCATTTGTGTAGGACTTTTGTTGTTGCTGCTGTAATTTTAATGTCTAGACAGGGACTCTGTAAAAGATCTGGCTTACACAATACTGTTAAGTGAAAAGCATAGCAATTTCGGCTATTGTATTTGGCATATACAGTTAAAAAATAATTTTTTGAAAAATAAATTCATTTAAGACACACTAATCTGACAGATTTACATATAATGATGAAATAAATCTAAAAGCTTTAACTGCACAATATGTAGATCTGAAAACAAAACATGGATAGGTAAAATACCTATGATGATTTTTTACAGGTAAATGAAAAATTATGTTTTGGGTTACTCCCATATTCTGTCAAGGAATAAAGGAAATTAATATGTAATCATAAGACTGCTTCTTATGCCAATGGTATTACATGATTCTATGCTTTAAACTTTATAGCATGTTGGCAAATATAAAATCTTAGAGCTGGGAAAGCATTTAAGTTTCATGTTATTCCCAACTTCTTACCCAGAAGTCTATATACCTCTATGGGACTATAGATTGATCCATCCATAGCTTGTAATTGCTTTCAGATTTTGGTGTGTGTGTGTGTGTGTGTGTGTGTGTGTGTGTGTGTGTGTGTGTGCGTGTGCATTTTTCTGGGGGGTGGGGAACTTTTCAGCAAATTCTCAAAGGAGTGTATAGCATATAATCAATGACCACTTGTCTAACAACTCCATTTTACAGATTGGTTAATGCATGTATATTTTAAGTGATTTGCCCAGTTTTCTAATGGCTGTCATGGACTTGGTGCTGCTCCACTCAGCCACCTCTTTCATTGCTAAAGAATTTATTTCTCTCTTGTTTTGGGGAAGTTTCTCAGAAATTGCCTAGCCTAAAGAAAACAGCCTTTCCCAAGGCCATATTCCCTTCCTGAGGCAGCTTGCACTCAAACAATAGTATATGCTAGGATTAAAAAGGCCTGGTTTTCTCACCCCAAAGGGTGACAACTCTGAAGAGCCATACCAGTTTAAGAGCTTCTCACGGGGTCAGCTAAGGTCTTGGGACTGCACTGCAGCCCGATTAATCCCTGTGCCCAATCCTTCCTCCTTCCTCTCCCAACACAGATGTTGATCACAAAAACACTCAGCATTAAAATTCCTGCATATTAATCCTCCAGAGGAAGCCAACCTGAGATGGTGGCAGAAATATCACTAGCAACTTCTAAGTTCTAGTCTCTAATCTTTCCACTATACTCTTCATACTCACTATAACAGAAGTTCTATTTTTCTAAAGATAAATGAGGAAGAGCACATACATGCATGCATTAAAATTATTTTTAAAAAAGAGAACAAATTAAATGTTTAAGTATTATAAGAAAGTCAAATATGAATTAAAAATCACTTGATTCAAATATGTTGATGATACTTGAATATGAGTAATAAGACGGATTTTATAGGCTCAGTTTTGGACACAAGACACAGAGAACTGCAGTGCTTGAATATTTGGTCTGGAATGTTTTGACATGAAATGCCTGAAGCGTTCCAGTTTCAGACCTATAATATATACACCAAACAATCAAAATCTCACTCTTTCAGCTTGTAATGGATTGTATGGATTACAACAAACTCTTTGTTGTACAGATAAAGAAATGGAATTTCAAAGTAGATAACACTTGCTCAAGGTACAAGTCAGAACTATACCCACATCTTTTGAATTTTAATACAAAGCTTTCTACCATACTGTGAAGCTGTTCAATGGTCCCACAATCCTCTCAATGTATAAATTCTCCCTTTTGGAATGACTTACCTGGCACCTGCCATTTGCACAGATGTCTAGTCCCTGATGCCCACAAGAAGTTCCATCCATCACTTTTTCTGATAGAAGAATAGGCTGTTCTTTGCCAACAGGAGAGCAAAACAAGGCACACGGTTTTTCTACATATAGAGTAAATGAAAAGAAATGAGAAAAAGTTACTCCATAAATATTTTTATCTTAAGCTTTACTTCTCAGAATGGTTATTGAGTAAACATTCTAATACAATGCTAACTCAGTAATGTAATATTGCAGTAGGTTATATCACAAGGTTATTGTGAGTGGTAAATGAAATACCGGGGAAAAAATAGGTACTCAATGAATATTAATTTCCTTCTTAAGAAATCTGGCTTCAAATTATTTTCAAAGCATATCACTTATTTTCTTGCACAAAACCCATACCAGACACAAACCAATTAATCTCCTTTAAAAATATTTTGCACGCCCTAATTTCTTGCTCATATCTTTTGAAAAGATTTCCTCTTTATCTTAAGTACAGATCAGAATTCTACCTATTTTTAAGTCCTGATTAAGATTTACTTTGTTCATGAAGTCTTCCTTGATGTCTCACTTCTAAGTTCCATACACTCATTTTTGATCCTATTTATTTAGCATTTTCTAATAAAAAGATTACTTAAGGGAAAAAGAAAAACTCCTAAGATGTGCAATTCTCATAAGATTTACCATTACTATGATGTTTAGAAATGCAATACAATCCCATGAGAATATCCACCATTACGTACAATTGCTGATGTGCTAGGTAGGAAACAAGCCCCTTTACTCCTTACTTAGAAAACATGTCAGTATGTATGATACCCAGGTTGAGAACCATTGTTTCAGGTGAAGAATTCTTGAATGGCTGGCAGTGTTCTTCAATGACTCACTGAGCAACAAGAAAGGGTGGCTGGAGTTAAAACACTTGCCTCTCAGGCTCAAAGAGTGGCAAAATATTTTCAGGTGCTGTTTCTACTTCTAAGCCTCCTACAGAGGAGCTGTAGTATTTAGTAACACCAGTAGAACCATTATCCAAATCTGAACCTTCAGAGCAATTTCCATGCTACATTACTACTCTATTGGCCTGACACCAGTCAGGTCCTTTAGTGTTTATTAAGCTTGTATAAATAGAATGGAAAATAGTTTACAGTCTCTGACACTGGTCTTCCTCATGTCTTTAGTAAAGTTCCACGTATGCTGATGGGATTCTATAAATACCAAATAACAGCCAGAGGCATGGAACAGGGTATCACTTTGCAAAGAGAAGACAGACAGTTAAATGAGCCTTCCGAATTGAACATTTCAAACAGTTTTCACATGTGGCTTCTGAATACTGCTTTGAACAATTTTGAGGAGTTGGAACATGGCCTTTCATGTGCATGGTTTTGAAATTTTCCTTTAAGATGCCATTATAAGCTGCAATAAAGCATTTCAGTATGCTCTCACACCTCAAAGTAGGTTATGTTTATTCAGTGACTGCTTACTATGTCATATCTTTGGACATAAAAACAGCTGCTAAAATTGCAACACTTTAAAAGTGGTATATATAATTCTTTTTCTGGAGTTTTCATTGAAGAGAGGAGCAAACCAGATAAATGAATAACATTGAAAAGAGTTAGTCTCCTAGAAAATTCCATTCACATTCCAAGAAAGTATTCAGATAAAAATCTCAGTATTTCTCCTTTAATAACACATTGTCAATACACTCTGCTTACTTCAGCTTCACAGATGACATAAACATTTGATACTAATCTTCCTTTCTGGAGTATACCCTTGAGACTGTGACATTGTAGTGATCCATGTAACATGCCAGGACTTGGCAGGCAGGCTCTGCCTTGATTTAAGAGACCAACCTTTTCCAAGATATGCATTAGACATTGATTTTAGCCAATTTTCAGCATACACAGAATATGTTAAAATACCTGAATGTTAAAGCCATGCAACTCTTTTCTCTAAATGTTCGCTACTACATTGACACCCTACATTTAATTCTCCTAGTCATGGATTCGTGTATTATATAAGAATAACAGATATAGTCACTTGCATTTTAAGGTGTCATATGTTATCAAGACTTGAGATTTTTAAAAGAATTATATATTTCAATTTCATAGTGCTATAATACATGAAAGCTGGCTATTATTGTGTATTTTATTCATCATACAGATTCATGTGTTTGACATGTGTTACAAAATTATCAAAAAGTCTAACCTGTTGATTATATAAATAGCTATTATGGGTCATTTTCATGATAAACATCATTCTATAAGAGTCCTTTAATTGTCATGCCCAACTGCTCTAATGCTTTAAATTGATACCCATCCAACACTGATTTTCTTTTAATGTGGAGGAAATCTGTTTTCTATGACTTATTTCACATACAAGTACATATGTTTCAAGTGATTTCAACATTATTAAACATGGCCAGTTAGAAATAAGGCAGCATTAACCATCAAATAATCAGTTAATGATTTTTGTAAGGTGAATAGTAATAATGATTATATTTTTACATTAAAAAGACATTGATTATTTTCAAATTTATGCAATAAATATTATCAGACATTTAATATACACCAGACAGTACACTAGAAACAGATGCCAGAGGGAACACAGAAACATTTACATGTGCTATCACAGGGGGTTGTGGGATACTTGGAAGGAACACATATCCAATTTGGAGCATCAGGGGGATATTTTTCTCCTAGAGGAATTGACATAAACTGAGTCCAAAAATTAGTAGAAATTTTCAAGTTAAATAAGTAGGGAGAGAGATTGAAGCTCGGGACGGAAAAGGTATTATGCCAAGAAACAAGCTGATTTCAGGAGCCCAAAACAAGAGATCATCATGTATCTAAAGGGTGGATTGGAAGTTGGCCTGGCTGGAAAGGATACTACAAAAATGAATGATGGAGATGAGGTAGGAGAAGTTAGAAGGCCACAAAAACATCCTTATAAACCAGGCAATCAAGTTTGTGCAACTGAAAAATTAGTGTTACCTTCACTGAGATTGGAGAGAACTAAAAAGGCTCAAATGGACATGAATAAGAAGGGTCAAGATCATGAGTTTGGTCTTAAACTTGCAAATATCCAAGTAGAAATATGAAGCAAACAGTTGTACAGACACATTTGGAGCTCCAAAAATATCTGGATGAAGACATAAATTCATAAGTTATTTGCCTATTTGAAGTCATGGGATTAGATGAGATCACCTAAGAAGAAAATGTAGAGTGAAAACAAAATTGCATCTGGAACAGGCAGAAGGAGAATACACCAGAGATACAGTAGGAAAGCCAGGTCAGCGTTGTGTTATGGAAACCAAGGCACATGAGTATTTCAAGAATCAAGGGTGGTCAACCAAGTGATTGCAGTTGAGAATCAAGGAAGGAGAGAACGGGAAACCATTCACTGGGTTTAGTTTCCATGAGACTACTCGATGACATTAGAGAGACATGTTGGTGGAATCTAGACTGAGGGTAGGGAAACGGGGCTGGGAAACAGGCAGCTCTTTTGAGAAGAATGGCTGTTAGGGGAGAAAAGTGTAAGTGCACCAGCTCGAGGTGGCTATGAGCTTGAAGGAAGGTTTGCAGTTTTTAGTGGGAGATCCTAAATATGTTTAAAAAATTAAATATGAATGATCCAACATAGAGAAGATTAAACCAGCTCGAGGTGGCTATGAGCTTGAAGGAAGGTTTGCAGTTTTTAGTGGGAGATCCTAAATAAGTTTAAAAAATTAAATATGAATGATCCAACATAGAGAAGATTAAACAGATAAGAGAAAGTAGGGTAATCAATAAGATATCTGAAAAGGGAAATGAGAATGGCATCCAGGGCAGATTTGGAGATTTGGAGGGTCTCACTTTGGAAAGGAGGAATTAAAATTCTGCTATACAGTCAAAAGCAGATGGAATGTTTGCAGATATAAGTAGGCTTAAGTGTTTGACAGCAGGAAGATAAGGAGGTAATCATCTGATGGCTGCTGGAAAGGAGGAATTAAAATTCTGCTATACAGTCAAAAGCAGATGGAATGTTTGCAGATATAGATAGGCTTAAGTGTTTGACAGCAGGAAGATAAGGAGGTAATCATCTGATGGCTGTAGGCAGTGGTGATCTGGTTTGTCATACCTTCGTCCAAAATAGCTTGCCACTGAAGTACATGCTTTGGGTACGAAGTTCTAACACTATAGGCCTGACATTGCCAGTCTCTGAATCCAGGCAAACCTGCAGGACAAGGTGGATTCTCACATATTCTGTATTGTTTTCTGGGACCATTACAATCCCTTGCTTCAGAACCTAGCCTAGAAAAGACAGTACAAATAATCAATTTTATCTTTTTTTTATGTTAGCTACCCATTTTTTAAAAATCACAAACCATTATATTAATGTTGTATGATCTTTTCTATTAAATCTACTTTTGACAACTTGGACACATTAAATGAGTGGTGGTATTTGGAAATCCACGTTTATTTTTTGTAAGACCATATGTATTTTTCAATCTTTGGTTAATTTAACTTCCAAAATCCATGAAGAACCAAAACCAACTTGACATAAAAATGATATCCAGGAATAAAAGGCAGAGGCTGGGAGCAAAATAGAAAGCCTGCAATACCATGAAAAAGTTTGGTTCTATGGATTATTATGGAGATGTTTTCATGTAAATTCATACAAATTGTTTACAGTCACTTGTGACCGACTGCCACTGAGATCCACACCAACAGTTAGAGGTCACAAGCTGAAATGACTTCCTCACACTTTCTTAGTATCACTCCAGGAACGATGGGGTTAAACAAGCTGATTTTGCAATAAGTCCTATCTGTACATATGTTTAGCATGCTTTTGTTCTTCATTAGTCTTAGCTTTTTTTGGCCATTAATTTTGTTCTGAAGTCCTATTATCTTCCTGCTCTTCTCACAGTTCCTGTAAATGTTCACTTAATTTTTTCTAATACATGTTTCCCTTATTTGATTTACTCAAGAAATCACCTTTTGTAGATTTCATTATTTATTCTCAGAAGGGTCGGTCTTTATTTTCTTCTTCAAAGGAATTTTTTATATAATATAAATAATTTGAGGGACTTTTGTGTTTTCCAAAGTGAAGAAGAGTTAAAGGGGCTTCTTTTGCTTGTCAACATGGTTAATCAGTAAATCCTTTGCATTTCAGAACTGAAGGAAAATGCCCTCCCCCAACCCCGGAACTTTGAGTTTACCCAGGACATTTGCGCTCTCGACCGCTGATCCCAGAACTGCAGGTTCGGCTACAGGGACTCCACACGCTCCACTCTCCGGCCAGATGTTCAGGCGCTGAGGTCCTGCTGGTACACTCTCCAGCCTTACACCACTATTCCAAAAGTTATGTCTTAGGTGAACAAATCAGGGCACAACTGAAAATCATTCACTGGCCTATATAGTCACTGGAATTGCAATTAAATCAGGTCTACGAGAGCCCCAAACATGTGGAATTGTAAAAAAAGACATCAAATAAGTTGGCATTGCTTTTTGATATAGAAGAGTAAAGGGCAGAGGCTAGGGGCAAAATAGATGGCCTGAAATTACCATGAGAAAATTTGGCTCTTAGATTTATTGAGGAGATGTTTTCATATAAATTTATATAAATGCTTTCAAACATGGTAGTATAACAGTCCAGGTCTTATAGCTCTAGTGTCAGATCATACGGTCTTGTCATGAAAGCAGTGCACAGAGTTATTACTAGAGTCCCAAGAATTCAGCACTTGTGATGGAAATAGGGTAAAGGCGATGGGGAAAAGTTGAGATTGCACAACCGGGAAAGAAAACTAACACATTCTAAGAAACAGGTAACAACTTAAAAGGAACAAAAAAGGATAGACTCATACATAAGAATGAAAAACAAGAAATAAATGTTCCTCTACAACTAGGTCAAAGCAGACATCTTAGCAAATTTAATAATTTTGATTTGAAATGTCAGTGATTCAGGGTACTCTTTCCTTTTAATTAAAAAAAAAGTAAGATTTAATTTCATTACTTTCCTTTATGCTTTTTTTTCCCTGAAAGAGTTCCCATCAAGTTCAAGCATTAACACTACAGCAAGCTTTTTTTTTTTTTGAAAATCATATTTGTTTGAAATACTTGAGCAATTAAGATTCTGAAATTCTGTCATTTCATTCCAATTATTTTGTAGCTTATGTGGTATCTATTAACTGGGAAAAATAACTGGGAAAGAAAAATATGAAAGAAGAGAAAGGAGTGTAGTCATTCTCTTTTTTCATTTTTATTCTACTTTTCATTAACTTCAACAAAAGCAGTGAGAGAGATTGTTTCTATGATCACCCAGGAATGATTGCCAGGACTTGGTAGACAGGTTATTATAATTTCTCCTTATTCTTGAAAATCAGATAGATGGTGGTCATAGCAGACATTTTAAAGGTGATAAAATCATGTGGAGAACAATAAGTAAAGATTAGTAGTATTCAGATTATGATGGGGTTGAACAAGCTAATCCTTCTAGCCCTAAATGATTTTCCGCACTTAATGACAACATGATTTACAAAGAATTTTGAGGAAATTGCGGAAATGCTCTGGCTCAGCCTGCTCATTTCCAAAATGTGAAGAACAATCATATTTAAATCATAGAGTTTTTGCAGGGGTTGAATGAAGCACTAAGCAGAATGCATAGCCCATAGTAAGGATTTCATAGAGGTTAACTATAATAATTATACATTATTATATATATCATTACATTAGTGGTATTAGAATAGTTTTCAGAAATCTAATCAAAATTCTGATCTTTATTAATCTCTTGTCTTTATTTAAAATTTATTTTGAGAATATACATTTTTATTGTTGTTTTTAGAAGAGAGAATTTAGAAGACTACGCTATATAGTATTGTTTGAGCCCAGTTAATGCTTTTATGTGCAATAACATAATTAGTCGCTGAAGATTTTCTCTAATAATGTCAAAATTTAAATTCAACCACTTTTAGATTCAAGAAGTTTTAAATCTAAGCTGTAAAAAATATAACCCTTAACAACTCAGAGTGTATTAAAATGCTAAGACTGTCATTAAGTAAGTTGGGATTTTGTATAAAGACACAGTCTGAAAATTGGAAAAGAGAGAAAAAACAGACCATGTAAAAACTTTTACATTACTTACTGGTTTTAAAAACTTAACAATGTTATGCCATTCATGGGGAAAAAAATCCACTGTGAAAGCTGTCAAACTTCAATTGGTCACATTGTTTTGGCCTACCTGAAGGGTGTTTGTTTTTCCCAGAGTGCACATCATATAGCTCTTTGCCTACTCAGCAGCAAGCTGGCATTGAAAGGCTGAACTAGAGTTCATAGAAGACTAAAAACATGCTGGGAAGGACTGGGATCTAGACTTGCACATCTTTTAAACTAGACCACATCTGGCAGATAAAGAGAACTGGAAACTTATGCAAGCTAATTTGCATACACAAATCAATAAGTTTAAAGAAAGCATAGCATGATATTTAAAATTTGTCACCATGCAGGTAACCAGATCTCTGTATGAAACCAGGAGGAACCTGCTTTTGTGTCTTCTAGATGGTACTGTGCTTCAACATTGAGGAAAGTGTTAAATGTTGTTTAAATATTATACGATATATACTATTGGATTTGCATATAAAATGATCCTAATAATGCTTTCCACAAATTTTTTAGCGTTTTTTGTTTCATACAATATTTGTGTTATTTGGCTTCAAAAAGATATTACACGTGGTTTAAAAACCTCAACATTTATCTTATATACAAATTCACTATGAAAATATTGAAAAAATATGTAACATTAACATAAATTATTTGAAACATTACATGACCTAAAAAAACTGATTATATTTCTATGCTCCCAAATTTTTATGTGGACATGTCTAAAAAGTTCATGAAACTCACAATTGAAAGAGGTCCAGGAAGATGTCAAAAGAGTTTGATCATTCACTAACCAAATCCTGTACATACATTGTGGAAGAGAGAAGAGGAGGCAGGTAGGCAGAAAGCTCTCTATATCTGCCCACTGTGATTGTTAGAATATCACAGTCTTCACCATTTCCAATAATGAAGGATGATGGTAATTTTAAGAATTCCAATTTAGGAGAGTAAATAACTAAAATAATATGTAGAATCCTTCAAAACCGTCTAAAATTTTAGTAAATTAGTATTTAATTTTCTCTGCCCATCTCTCCATTCATAGCAAATACTGTAAGTGAAAGCATACATTTATTGGTTTTTACTAAATTATTTATCAATCCTTTAATATGTTAAATGTAAATGCCAATACATTTACATTTGTATTGTATATGTGAAAATGATAGAAATTGTACAAAGATGATGGTATAAAAAGAAAAGGAGAAGAAAGAAAACAGGTTGCTTTTAATTTGGAAAATGCTGTCTATAAATGATATGTAAATCTCTATCTTCACAATCATTTTGAATCATAGAATGCTGTAGGAACCTTCTCAGACTTAATTATATACTTTTAGAAGAACTAGATTTATACAGCTTTACATCACTAGAGTGTTATAAATAACAAAATCCCCAACTTTGTTTCTTGGTTTGCGATGTACGGATGTTGCAGTGTTTAGTGCGAGGTTGCAAGTGTTCAAATATTTTAGCACTACTGCACACAAGAGCAGATTGTTGGAAACTATTTTCATGATGGCTCTTACAACAGCTGGAACAGATGGGTATTTGAAGAAGCCCACATGGCCTGAGGAACTGAGAAGTTCATTAGTTATTTCAATATGCAAAGCATTACAGCACCTCTAAAAGAATACCATTAACACAATTATAGCATTTTAATTTTGATGAGTAATTATAGTTTTAATTGCTGAAAGAATAAGTTTATTTCAGAGATCTCAAGAATGCAAAGTATCATAAACATGAGAAAAAATCATAGGAGAAAACGCTATATTACAAAAATGAAGAGAATTTATACAGGTAAAGAACAACTGAGTAAGACAAATGAGTTGTACAGTGTTTGAGGACTTACGGCTGAATGTTTGGTTATCATTCAGCTTTTATTACTGTATATTACTGCTTTCGTGTTTCAGGGATAATAACAAGTATTGCTGGTGCAGAGTTTTATGATTCAAGCAATAAATTACTCATTATATTATCATGAGACCTGCCTTACATATGAGTACACACGTTGTACTTTTGTGTATAATTCTTAAAAAAATAAAATGGACCCAAATTCTGACTCTGTACGCTCATAGAAAAATATTTTTCTGTAAACAATTGACTGATACTTCACAGAAGTTCCCTCCAAGGAACCATTTTCTAATTGCTTGTTATCTAGTGACAAAACATTTATAGTCTTTTTTAAAAAATAGTTTGGATTTAAGCAATTTGTACATTTTTCCTTTTTTAAGTAAATAAATCATAGAAGTAATAAATGACTACATGCTTATGTAAAACAATCCAGAAATGTCTGCAGAAAAGCTATATTTACCCACACCTCCCTTTGCTATACCCCCATCCATCAATTCTGCTTCCCTTCTGAGAAGTTAACTACTAATTACAGTTTGGAATATACAAGGGTACTTCAAAAAGTTGACAGAAAAATTGAATTAAATCTTTCTATGAACTTTTTGATGACCCCTTGTATATTTTCAAACCATTTTCTACATTTTAAAATATATCTGTGTGTGTATTCACATCTGTGTAAAAACAATTTTCCTTAAATCTCAAATGTATTATAAAGTATCCATTTTTCTGACAAGCCTCTGTACTAACAGATGTGTCTTGTAGATCTCTTCGTGTTAGTACATATATACCTACCTCATTTTTTTAACTGCTACATTGTAGACATTCCTCTCCTGATGAACATTTTTGTTGTTTCTCCTTTATCACCATTGCAAACTGCATCCTTATATAAGCATCTTTGTGTGTTTGTGTGCATTTTTGTGCACACTTCCTTAGGACAATTTTCTAGAAGTAAAATTGCTGGATTTCCATTCATTTTTCAAATCTACGTATTATTAAACTAGCACTTCAAATAACTTAATTTTTTCCCCGGATAATTCACCCCCAGTAATCTGTACATTTTATGTTGCTGTTCATTTTCTGTTCTTCAGAGGCAGAGGCAATAATTCTGATCTTACTAATAATGAGTAAAGTGGTAACCATTCCACTTTCCCTTCATAGTATACAAGTTAGAAAATTATGTAAACTATTATCCTTTAAATTATCCATAATTATAAGTACACATAGGTTCTGCCTACTGCATATACATCAAAGGAAAATGATTTTTTAATTGACCTGGAAATGTATACTAATAATTTCCTATATCTTATGGAGCACATTAAATTAAGCTACTTAGCCAAATATTTACTAATCTCCAAATGTCAATGGGAATATTTTACTTATTATGCTTAGGTTGACAAGGAAAATTAATACTCAGTTTCTATCCTGATACAATATTTTATATCTGAAAGAATTCATCAGCTCTGAGAAGTTTTACCATTTATGCTATTATCTGTGCTTATTTTATTTCTGTTTAATTTAAATAAAATAATGAATTCACTTTTTTGTTAAAGTAATGCATATATCTGACCCTTACATTATCATGATGAAAAACAATTTAAAAAACCCAACCATATCAATATTAACAAAACAACCATGGACTTTAAAAAACATAAAAGTTAAAATTAAAAATAGATAAAATGCTAACATTTTTGTATATACTGAAACTACTAAATCAGTGTTAAGATGAATACATATGTAACTAGCAAGAGAAAATACAAGTTCCTGAAGTTTCGTATAATATTCTTATTAAATTCAGGCAACACAAATGACTTACCTTACCAGGGTCACAATCAGTTCCATCCATTGGCGGATCTAGTTTTGTTCTGCATTCTTTCTCACCTTCTACCTTGCACCATAGTCCTGTGCAAATGACATGCTGGAAACAAGGGCACAATAACTAATAAGGGGAAGGTGTCACATTTCTTAGGTTAATCCAATAATTCTTGAGAAAGCTTTTTTTGATAGAACAACAGAAATTATTTGAAGAAAAATATGCTTTAGGTACTTTTAATATTAAACTTGTAATCGAAATAGTTATATGGGTTATTTATAGAGATGGGAAGATTGATGTATAACAATAGAAAATCTGTTTAATAAAATTAAATCTTTTAAAAATTGTTTAAATAAAACACATATGCTTATGCAAAATTATGTAGATATTACAGTAAAGTGTAAGCTAAAAAACATTCTTTATATTATGATATGAACTAGGCTGGAAGAATAAGTGCTTGTGTTTGTGGTATGAATTCAGTGTCTCCTACCTTAAAGCCTATCCTCACTTCTACTATTTTTGCTTAAATATCATGGTTAGCACTTCATTATTTCATCATATAGTCTTGACCCTTCACACAACACAGAGACCCTTAATGGGTATGTTTTTATAAATTATCAGTCATTTACTTTTTAAAACAATTAATTTATTTTTAATTGAAACACACAGATTGTACATATTTATTGGGTACAGAGTTATATTTGAATACATGCACACAATGTACAATGATCAAATCAGGGTGATTAGCAATTCATCACTGCAAAAATTTATCATTTCTTTGTGATATGAACATCTGAGCTCCTCTCTTCTAGCCACATGAGAACATAAAATAAATTATTAGTTATAAATGCCCAGCACTACTATATACTACTAGAACTTATTTTTCCTATCTAGCTATAATTTTGTGTCCATTCACCAATCTTTCACTCTCCCACCTTCCCCCCGTCCCAGTCTCTAGTAACCACAATTCTACTCTCTACTTCTAAAAGTTCAGTTTATTTTTAGTTCCTATATATGAATGAGAACATGCAGTATTTTTATTTATGTGTCTGACTTATTTCACTTAATGTTTTCAAGGCTCATCCGTGTTACCACAAATGACAACATTTCATTCTTTTTTATGGCTGAGTAGTATTCCATTGTGTATATATAACACATTTTCTTTATTCATTCATCTATCATTCATTAATCTGTCAATGGACACCTAGGTAGAATCCATATTTTGGCTACAATGAATGGTGTTACAATAAACATGGGGGTGCAGATATCTTTTTGGTATGCTAATTTCCTTTCCTTTAGATAAATACCTAGCAGTGGAACTGCTGTATCATATGGTAGTTCTATTTTTAGTTTTTTCAGGAACCTCCATACTGTTTTCCATAGTGGATATACTGATTTACATTCCCACCAAAAGTGTAAAAGAGTTCCCCTTTCTCTGCATCCTCACCAGCATTTGTTATTTTTTTGTCTTTTTGGTAATAGCCATTCCGACTGGGGTGAAATGACATCTCATTGTGGTTTTGATTTGCATTTCCCTGATGATTAGTGATATTGAGCACTTTTTCATGTGCCTATTGCCCATTTGTATGTCTTCTTTTGAGAAATGCTATTCAGGTCACTTGCTCATTTTTTAATTGGATTATTTGTTTTCTTGCTGTTAAGTTCCTTGTATATTCTGGATATTAATACCTTGATGGATGAATAGTTTGCAAATATTTGCCTCATTCTGCTGATTGCCTCTTTGCCCTGTATGATTGTTTATTTTGCTGTGCATAACATTTTTATTTGATATAATCCCACTTGTCTATTTTTGCTTTTGTTTCCTATGCTTTAAAAGTCTTCTCCATAAAATTTTTGCCTACACTAATGTCCTGTAGTGTTTCCCCTAAGTTCCCTTCTAGTAGTTTTATAGCTTCAGGTCTTACATTTAAGTCTTTAATCCATTTTGAGTTGATTTTTGCATACAGTGAGAGATAGGGTTTTAGTATCTTTCTTCTGCATATGAATATACAGTTTTCCTAGCTCTCTTTATTGACGAGGCTGTCCTTTCCCCAAGTATGTACTTGGCACTTCTGTCAAAGATCAGTTGGCTGTAGACCTGTGGACTTATTTCTGAGTTCTCTATTCTGTTCCATTGGTCCATGCATATGTTTTTATAATAGTATCATGCTGTTTTGATTACTATAGCTTTGTAGTATACTTTGAAGTCAGGTAGTGTAATGCCTGCAGCTTTGTGCTTTTTGCTCAGGATTGCTTTGGCTATTTGGGGTCTTTTGTGGTTCCATATGAATTTTAGGACTGTTTTTTCTATTTCTGTGAAGAATGTCATTGGTATTTTGATAGAGATTGCATTGAATCTATCGATTGCTTTCGGTAGTATGGTCATTTTGACAATGTTAGTTCTTCCAATCCATAACATGGAATGCCTTTCCCATTTTTTGTTTCCTCTTTAATTTACTTGATAATTGTTTTCTAGTTTTCATTGTACAATATTTCACCTCCATGGTTAAATTTATTCCTGTTTTTTTTTTGTTAGCTGAAATGAAATTGGAAATTGATTTCTTGATTTCTTTTTTCACTAGTTCATTGTTGGTGCACAGAAATGCTACTGATTGTTATATGTTGATTTTGTATTCTGCACTTTAGTGAACTCATTTGTCAGTTCTAACAGTTTTTACTTCAGTATGAATGAGTTTAGATCTTCAGGATACAATGAACTTTGCTGAGGGAAAAATTAAAGGGATATTTAAAAAATAGTGGGATAAAACAGCTGAGACATGGTATCAATGAAAGAAGAGAACTCTGAGGAAATACAAGACAGAAAATTGTCGGCAACCTTAGCCACAGGTATAATTGTGGCCAGCCTAGAGACACAGATATGGTAAGGCACTTGGGCACATTCTTAAAGACTTTCTATTTATGCAAGATGGTTGAAATTTTTTAGACAAAAGCATACTGTTAAGAATTGCACAGAAATGTGAAATCCCTAAGGGACATTTAATCGTGATTACAGTATTAACATGTAGTGAAGATGATTATGTTACCACCTATCCAGATACCTGGAGAACACGGTGGAGGAGAATAGGGACAATGTGAAAGGCATAGTCATTAAAAGGCAGAAGACAAGGGTAATGCAGAATAAGTATATAATGAAAGAGAACAGTGAAAACTGAGATTCAAAAGATGGAAGAACCAGCAAGGACTAGGGACTCCATATTTGTAAGAAAAAGGACGACATTTAGAAGTAGACCAGAAGGTTGATAAGATAAAGGCTATTGAAGGAGGCTTATTCTGGTGGTGGTATTCAATCACTGAAAAATGAAAGTTAACTTATGACCCAAATCTATTCAATATGTTGGGAAGAATATATTCAAACTAATTTATCAAATTGGTATGTTGACAAATCCTAATACTAAACATAGCAAATTCTAAAATATTATTTTCCAACTTCAGTCAAGATGGCAGAATAGACAGTCACCACTGTCACTCTCTCCCATAAATCAGCTAATTTACAACTGTAAAAAAGCAAAGACAGCCAAGCTGGGGGTGCTAGAGCTCAGGGGAAGAGGAGAAGAGACCTGTGGAGTGCATGAAGGCAGGAGAAGCCATGGTGAGAGAAAGAAATAATCGCTCTGACCATTTCGAATCCTGGCCACTTCCAGGCTGGAGCTGCTGAGTGCATGGAGCAGGAGCTGGCAAAAGCCACAGCTGTGCCCTTTGTATGAAGTTGCTTGGAGGCAGCAGGGGATAAAAGAGCCTTGGTGGTCTCCAAGCCAGCAAGACCACTAATAGGGTTCCCATGGACCCACATAGGAGCAAGAAGCCACAACAACTGAAAAAAAGGAGCTGCTCAGAGGTTGGTGAGTCATTGTAAGGGACTGGAGCATGGCCTGTCCCATGGGAAGTGTTTGGAGTACCAGCAGTGGGAGAGACATGCCCATTGGGAGCACACTGGGGCACAGCAAGGACAGCCAATCTGACCCCCAATCAGCGTAGGACCACTCAGAGAAGACTGGTCAGTAATAAAGAATTGTAGAGGGTGCAGTGTGATGAAAATACTCAGGCCCAGACCAGTGTTTCTATACAACCTAGGTGCACTGGTTCTCACTAGACCCAGAAGTACCTATAAAGTCAACCATTAAAACCTAAGCTGCACAAAAAGCCTTCCCTAAGGAATCAGCAGCAAAGCAGCAATTTACCTCAACCACAGAGCTCAAGTATTGGTCCTCACGGGTAGTTCCTCCTTTTTAGAAGTAAGCAAAGGACAATAAATCAGTTCCAGCAGAGAGTTTAAGTGGTGGGAACAGCAAATAATCCACTATGGAACCGAAAGAAAAAACAAAGTACTCACAACCAAAGACAAAGTTTGATATTAACTAGTTAAGGCCTCATTTCACCAAAGAACATGTATAACACCTTAAAGGACTGGAAGTCCCTGGGCTACCAAGCCAGAAAGGGGAGATGGCTGGGGGCCTCAGCCGTGCCCCCTGACACCTACAACCAGTCCCAAGGGTGGGGGACAGAGGCTTAGACCATGCCCCCCTGACACTCTCAACCAGCCCAGCGGCAACCACTGAGCTGCAGCAAGAAGGGCCCCAGGTTCTCAAGCTGGGGTGGTGAGAGCGAGGGCTTCTGCAACACCCCCTGACATCTGCACCCAGCCTGGCAAGGACCAAGCTACCACTGGAAACCTGTTGGTCTCCCCTGTGGGAATGAGGGGGGTACCACAGGCCTCAATCCCACCCCTCCTCCTTCCTCCTTCTTCCATGCCATTTCCTTTCCCTTTCTCCTCTCCCCCTCCCTCCCACCTGCTCTGCAACATCATAGAATGTAAAAAAATAATATTAATAAAGCATAATTTGGTAAAAATAAATAAATAAATAAAATATTATTTTCTTATGTTTTAGATATCTGGACTGTTAGTAAGCTCTTAAAATTCAGTAGTTGATGATGAGAGTGTGATATTTTTTATCTCCCTTATTTTATCTGCTGTGACAGACATATTTTCTGCTTCAAAATATTTCACACAAACATATCTTATTATATTTAGGATGAGGTTTAGCTTTACTAATGTGTGTTTATTTGCACATAACATATATCAAAAA